AGGAAGGAACAGAATCACTGAAGTAGTGTTTCCCATTTCTAACTCTCTCAGGCATTCCAAGAGGATGTCATGGTCTATTGTATCAAAAGCTGCTGAAAGGTCCAAAAGCACCAACTGGGTCATGCTTCCCCTGTTGATGCTAAGATGCAGGTCTATCTACCAGCACGACCATGGCAGTCTCCACCCCATATCCAGGCCTGAAGCCAGTTTAAAATGGATCTAGAAAATCAGTTTCATCCAAGATCACTTGGAGCTAAAAAGTGACAGCTCGCTCGATCACCTTGCTCAGAAATGGTAAATAAGAAACTGGTCTATAATTTTTCAAGTCCAGGGGGTCCAGGGAAGGTTTGTCAGACTGAAAATTAGAGAGGGCTCCTTTATTTTTTATAGTTGTGCAAAAGAGGGAATTTCAGCAGATGTTGTTTGTCATGCAACCAGCTAACATGCAACACCTGCTGAAATTCCATTTTCTCCACAAACAGAGGTGACTGGAAGGCACATACACACACATAGAACTGTTATGTTGTACACGAGCCCTTTCCAGATTTAATTCTGGCAACCCTAAGGAGCACTGCTGAAGGAGTTCATCCTTCATATGCTGTCTGAAGCTTCTGGACATTAAAGTCCTTCAGCATCTTTTAACACAGCTCTGGGAACCACTACTCCATGAAAATCATATTCCATGAGAAAACTACACTACCCATATCATATATGAAAGAGCCAGAAGCAGTCCACGGTGCTTTGAGTACCACTGCAGAAGCAACCCTAAACTTCACAAGCTATTTTTTGAAGACTGCAAGAGGCTCTGATGGGAAGAGCACCCTGGCAAAGTTCCAGCATTTGGAATTGTGAATACTATTTGGATCTCAATCAATCTGTTTTTTGGATTGCCCTTGGACAGATACTGATTTATCATACTGGGCAGTTTGAGTAATGCCTTATTGCATCCAAAACTTTATGTTAGAATTCATTTTCTTTTTTTCATTTCCCTGAGGGTTTTGTTATTTCTATATTTATCTGAGCACAATGAGATGTTACCAATGCTCCAGTTTAGACAGTATTGTATGGTATATTGCACACATAAATATGTACAGATTTATTCAAGCACACATGCAACCTTGTTTAGCAATATTTCCAAGCTTACTTTAATCTTCATGCAGGCTTAATTATTAAAAAACTAACATCCTTCCTGCTAATTCTCCTGATTTGGTCCTGACACATTATGACTAAGATTACTTTGTCTTGCATCACGTGCTTGACATAGGTCAATAGTGTTCTTTACATGATCAAATATTATTCTTTTTTGCATCTGAAGTGAAATATTACTATATCTGAATTGCAACAGTTTATAAGTAGTGTTGAACTATAATGAAAATGCATTTTGTAAAGAAAAATGACACTTTGTAATAGCTTGGTTTTTTTGGTAATCTGAATTTAACATACGCTTAATTTATAATTACAAAGATACAACTTGAGGCCTAGTAAATGGAAGTTATGTGGATGTATATGTAGTTGACTGAGAGAGAAATGTAAGTCTAATGTTAGTCTAGTGTCTTATTGTATAGATGTAAATTGTTAAATGTGTTAGGTTTGATATATGTATGCTATGAAATGTTATGTTATGCATAGTAAAGTATGTTTTGTATTGTATGTATGATAATGTAATGAATGCATGTATGTAATGTTATGTAAGATATATGATTGTAATTTGCATGTTATTTTATATGAAGATTTAATAAACTCTATAAAAAATAAAAAATAAAGAAAAATGACACTTTGTAAGTCACCTTGAGGCCCCCCTTTTGGCTAAAATCTCTTTACTTTGTGTCACTGTCAGAAAGCCTCTTCAGAATGGGGCCCATAGTTGTTGAGCCTATTTTTACTTTATTTGGCTATGTGGCACTGTCAGGTATCCAAATCTGACTGGCTGTATGGCAAGATGGCATTACTGCCAATCACTATGTGATCAGTAATTGACTAGGATCACTTAGGAAAGAGGTGCCTGTTTTGTGAGGTTGTAGATCCGAACAAGGAAATGACAGCCAATGGATAGAAGGAAGTCAAAGAAGACATTGGAAAGGCAGGTTTACAGCTATGAAGGAACTGGACAAGAGCCTGAAGTGTCAACCTATACTACTGAATACTAAAGTTAGAATTGCCTCTTCCATTGTATTTCCAATTTATATGCATGGCTGTGAAAGCTGGATAGTGAAGAAGGCTAATAGAATGACAATCAACTCATCTGAGATGTGGTGCTGAAGAAGAGCTCTACAAACACTATTCAGACCCACAAAACCCTATGAGTTGGAAGTCTCTGATTCACAGGGTCGCCATAAATTGAGTTCAACTTTATAGCAGTTAACAACAACAAAGGAGTACCATATAAATAAACAAACCACATGAATGAAAGACAGCCATGTTGGCCCCAAACATACCACACATGTTAACTGTATAATTATTGGCAGGTTGTTTGCATTGCCATCAATACAACGTTGTTAAGGGAAAGTATTAATAATATCACCATCACTGTCAATAATTTCTGCCTACAATTGCCCACTGATTTCTCCCCTCAGCCACGTCCATGGTGCAGACATCATTGTATGCCTAAGGTTATACTCCATCCATCTGATGAAGTGGATTGTAATTCCTGAAATCTCATGTTGTAGTATATCTGTTAGTGTTAAAAGATGCCACACAACTCTTTATTTTTCTAAAACCAGCTAACACAAAAACTCTCTTGGGAAACATGGAAATGGCTCTGTGCCAGGAAGAAAGGACCACTTTCATGGGAAGCACACTGAGCCCTTAAACCCATTTCCTTGGCAAAGTCACAATTATGTGAATTGGTGTGTGTGTGTGTGAACGCACATGCATGTGTTTCCCCTACTTCCCACTACTCCATACCAGCAATTGAGCTAACCCAACATGGAATGTGGAAGGACAGCAAATGTTAACCTTTCTCTTTCAAAAACAAAATACAGGTTGCTAAGTCTGTGTGGGCAATTTTTAATGGAGGAAGCTAAGAGGGTTCTAAATGCTGAAGGGTGAAGAGTTCATTTCCCTACTTACCTTGTTGTCATGTGCTTTTCCCATCACCACTATTAGAAGCCAAAGCATAAAATGTGCCAGATATGGAAATATGAGCAAATGGCAATAGTTTGCCTGATTTCCTCCTGTTACAGAATTTAGCTTCTCTCTGCTTGCAGAATTTGGCTCTATGACATTGGCTACATGTTGGCCTAATGATGGTAAGGATGGCCCGTGTCTGTACACTTCTGATTACTTTGGAAATAAATTGCATATTTGTTTTGTAAGTCAACAGTGATCCTTTCCCCTCACCCCAACTGTAATACTGATTTGATGTCTGTGGAACTGTCTAACTTATATGTCAAACCCTCTCATATGGCATTAACCACTAGCCAATGAGTGGATGGAAGTTCTTCTGCTACAACATGGAGCAATATACAAATCCATTCACCAGTCAGAAGAGAGGATGGTTCTAGAACTGAATATTGTACTGTGTTCTGAGAAATCTCACTTTTTGTGCTGGCCTCATAACTATATTCATTAACAGCAAATATATTTCTTTCTTGCAGTTCATCTATTGTAGACAAATGATAAGACAGATGCACACAGAGAAAGCCTTTAACTTCTGTCCTGTTTGGATACTAATAGTCATATGAAAAGCAATCAAGGCTATGACATAAGGCTTTGGGAAGCTGTTATGGCAATAAGAACATTTTTCCAAATTCATATTAGAAGATTTCAGGAGTCTCCCATATGTTCAGTTCTTCCCATTTGCTCCAGAGGTGCCAGGGCTGCTCTTTGAAAGGTTTTCTCTCCCAAGCCAAAGTTAGGATAGATTCCTCTGACCTTGCTGAGCAATACTCCCCCCGCACCTCTCTCCCAGCTGGAAAGACACATGCCACACAAGCTCAGTGCCAAAAACCTGCTTGCACAATGTGCTCTTGACATTTTTGCTGACTTTTTGAATTGTCCCCCCCTGCCTTTAATCTGCAGAGAAGAAGATATATGAACAACTACGTTAGCCCCATATTACGTAATTGTAAAAAGTCAATGAACGATATGCTGAGTATAAAGAAAACAGCAAGTTCAATAGCTTCCTCAGTGAATGGGATGGTATCAGTTTTACCTTTCTTCATTTAAAGCTAAAGTAGCCAGACCTCAAGTCTTTTACCAAATTCTCACATTTAATTGTTTCTCATACAAGTTCAGGATCAACCCTCCCCCAGTGCCATCCTGTTGTTCTCTTCATGAGAAGAAGGATGGTGCAGCCCAGAGGGAGGCTGAGCATGCTCCCCCCATGACATTACATCTTTGTCCTCATGAGAAGAATGATGGGCGGCCCCAAGGGAGGAGCGCACTCACCCCCATGCCATCCTGTCCTCTTCTCATGAGGGGAATGATGGGGCACCCTTGAGGGAGGCCGAGCATGCCATCTTCAGAAGACCCACCCACCCTGCACCCAGAGCCTACCCCCATTGGGTGACACCAGGTGTGGAGACACCATTGGGGAACAGCAAGGTGAGCAGGAGAGGGAGGGCAGATGGCGAGCACCCTTCTCCACTGCTGTTGCTGCCACTTCTCCTTCCATCACCCCTTCCCCTCATCTCTCTCACCAGGGTTGCCCATCTCAACCATGGATGGGGAGTGAAGAATTGGCACCTGGAACTGCCTGCCTGGGGGCATCAGGTCAGGTTGAGCTGCTGCAAGGGTGGTGACATCCTGCTCCTCCTTCTCATCTTCTTCCATGCCTCTCCCTCTTCTTTCTACAGGGTTGGGGGGGGATCCCCAGAGTCTGGTCCAGGGCCTTTCCCATCTTGTCTTTACTCCGGGGTGTGGGGAAACCAATCAAGACTAGATCCCTCCCTTCATCAGCAGCTCCCACTGACCAAAGCAGTAGGGAGGATGCCTGCCTGGGGATAGCATGAACTATCATCCTAGGGCAACACTAATCCTAGTGATACCACTGTTGGAGACCCAATGTGGTATAGTGGTTTGAGTGTTGGACTAGGACTCGAGAGACCAGGGTTCAAATCCCCACTCAGCCATGGAAGTTCTCTGAGTGACCTTGGGCAAGTCACACTCCCCTAGCCTTAGAGGTATTCTGAAGAAATCTTGCCAAGAAAACCTCATGATAAGTTCACTTTAGGGTCACAAGTTGCAAGCCACTTAAAGGCATACACCAACGGTTCTGATTTGATTACATATCCTGGACCAGTCTGTAGTCCATCAAGTTCTACACCAAGAGTTACTCTATATCTAGAGTTATGCATTTGTGACTGACTCTAATTCATGATCCTGACATATTCAATTGAGTAGGGAATATGCAGGGATCATGGAAGTCTTCCAATTCAGATTTACTGACCATCAGCAGTTGCAATATATAGGCATCTGCTCTCCTGTCAGTTGGAGAACAGCAAACTGATGTTTCCACCTGCCTCCTGTGAGTAATCTCCAGAGCAAGGAGGAATTGTGACAGGGATCCTGTTTGTGACTGTTGCTCCAGAGATCACTCATGAGAGGGAGGTGGAAATGTCAATTTGCTGCATCCTGATCAAATGGAGAAAAGAATCCTATTGTTTGCAGCAGCTGTTGCCCAGTAAGTCTGGACTGGGGAGGGGCTGGACAGGGAGATGCTACTTAGGCACAAAATTAAGATAGTTACGTTACTCAGTAGCTGATCTAGAATTGCTGTAATTTTATCTATAGATGTACTCCAGATGTACTTTAAAAAAATCATCAACAGTTAAAACAAAAACAATGCAAAATCATCTCTAAGGAAAAATGGTGTACTTCTATAGAGAAAATATAATACTAGTTACAGTACTCCTCAGCAACCATTCAGTTGACAAAAGACGTCCTGGATAAAGTGGTCTTTGTCTTCCTTTGAGAAGACCTGAGAGGGGGAACCTGTTAGCCTCCCTTGGTAGGGAGTTCCAGTGTTTGGGAGCAGCCACCTAAAAGTTCCTCTCTTGTATCCCTACCTAATGGTCCTATATAGGTAGTGAGACTTAGGTGAGTAACTTCTTCCCAAGATCTCAAAGTCTGATAAGTTAATATAGGAGAACAGTCAATAGCTTCAGATAGCATCAGTCAGGATATTGCTAGGTTGCCTGAGAAAGTTGACAGTGTCAGGGATGTAAATCCTAGCCTATTTCTTCTTCATCTGCAAGGATGAATAATTACAGTAGTTTTCTCACACCCACACATTCTGTTTTCTGTTAGGAAGCCCATTTTTGCAGTGAAACAGGTTTCATGCAAAAACAAACAAAACCCTATCCTTCCACATATTTTTCTCTACAGAATGATTTTTCCATAACTCTTCAGGATGTTCAGATGCCAAGAAAAAATGTGCAAAATTCTTGCTAGTCTAGAATTTTTCCCCCAGTGGGCTTTTCCCCATATTCAGAAACCCATTTTTCAACCCGAGAATGAATAATTACAGATATTATTTCCACTCCTAGTATTAAGTACTGCAGAATCTCATCTAGTCTTCTACTCTGTTTAATACACACGTTGATGGAGGAGAATGTTGTGACCTGTAGGATGCATGCAGCTCTGAAATCTGTTTTTTCAGCTCTGGAATCCCCCCAATGTCTTCCCTTGAAATTGCCCCAGTGACATTTCCTACTACTGGAAGCCTCTGGGAACAGTGGTTTTGGAATAAAACCAGGCCCTGCCCCTTCCAGCATTTCCAAATGATACTTCTGACCTTTCAGACCCTTTCAGTTTTGCTTTTTCATCATATTTTTCATGTTTTCAGAGCGGGTACAGCCCACAGTGGATTCTTGGGAAAGAAAATTGGCCCTGAACATGTCAAGGGGCCTTCTCTGATCTTCACTGCATTTGACAAATACTCTTTGTATATGAGTATGAAAGCTTTTAGGTCATACAAAGCCTTTACTTTGAATGCAACTGAATGTGTTAAAGTGGCAGCAGGCCCTAAGTATCCTGAAGGATCAAGATCCTGTCTGATTTTGAAAACCAAGCAGGGCCAGCCCTTGTTAATACTTGGAAGGAGATTGCCAATGAATACCAGGTGATGTGGTCTTTGTTTAAGAAGAAAAGTCACCTCTGGGTATTCCTTTCCTAAAAATAACTCCAGGAAATTTGTGGGGCCCCCATAGGTTGACAGGCAACTTGAAGGTAAATACAAAGTGGCAGCAGTTACCCAGAAGTAGTTCTGTCAGGAGTTTGACAACATTAAGTCCACCACATAAGTTATTTAGAAGAAACCAAGAACAATTTGAATTGGAGCACAAGATAGTGGTTCACCTAGAGAGCTAAAATGTAGTTCAATACAGAGAAAAGCCAGCTACTGCAGTTAGAAAGCATCTAGTTCAATCTGTATTTTATAGTCATATAAATCTTTGCATACAAACAATATTTTTGTTAATTTGTGTATATCCTAGTGTACATAGCTCTCCCTCAGGTGTTTTTGTTCTCATAGCCATGTGATGTAAACCATGCAGAAGGTGTGTGATTGGACATGACCCAAGAAGAGTAAGCTCTATCAGACTAAAGGTTTATCAGCTAGTCCATCTTTCTCTTCTCATAAAGGCATACCCTCCCAAAGACTCTGTGGCTGTGTGAATACTGGTTTTCGTCTGTGAAACATTGGAGAGTATGCCTTTATGAGAAGATAATATTAGACTAGCAGATAAATCACAGAGTGAGCTTTGCAGGTTGAGTAAGGATCTGTATTAGCTTTTCCCTGATCCTAGTACACTAATGATATGCCACATTTAACAATTAAATAGCATATGTTGGCACTCTGAGCTAGCATGGCATAATGGTTTGAGTATTGGACTACTACTGTGAGACCAGGGTTCAATTGTCTGCTTGGCCATGAAACCCACTGGGTGTCCTTGGGCAAGTCACATGCTCTCAGCCTCAGGGGAAAGCAATGGCAAACCTCCTCTGTACAAATCTTGCCAAGAAACCCCCCTGATAGGTCATCTTAGGGTTAATAGAAGCCGGAAACGACTTGAAGGCACACAAAAATAACAACAACAACCTTTACTAAGAATGGCTGAAAAATTCATTTCAGATTTGAATTTGATCACAATTTATAAAAACATGCAACATTTGAATGGGGGAGAAAGCGAAACTGACAAATTTGCCCATCCCTAATCTCTGGTAATGATGAAATGGTTGTTTTCTTTTAAACATGTTTGCATAATGTGTATCAAGGCAGAGAGAGAGAAGTTCAAGGCCAAACTGCTCTACAAGCACATCAAGCCCCCCCCCCACTTTTTTTTTGCTGGCTCATGCTTTTGAATTTCACACTAGGTCCCTTTGTTTAGAGGGTGTGGAGTGAATACATTTGAAGCTGCTAGCTCAGTAAGAAGTGCCTTTAACTTCAATTACTTCTTGGCACAGAGTTCTGATTTGGCAACCTTAATTGTTTATCTTTGGTTATAGCTGTGTCAGGTAAACTAATTTTGAGGGAGGGGGGGGATGAAGGAACAGATAAACAGTTCATGGAGAAACCAGAAAACACATTCAATCCTTCCACATCTTGAAAAATTCAGAACAGTTGTTCTTTTGTCTGTGCCTGGACCAATCAAATTTTTGTTTATTACAATGGCTTAAATCCAGTTGCTAATCCCAACTAGGGTGACACATGTCTTGATTGCATCTTATTTGATTAGTGTAACACTCTCTATGGGCCTTTGCAGACTGCCAGAAATAGTACAAATTGAGTCCACTTTAAGGGTTATGCTTAGTGCTAGGGAATCATGGGAATTGTTTGGTTTTTTTCTGAGACATTGAGCCTTCTCTGTCAGAAAGCTCTGGTGCCACAATAAAATACAGTTTCCATGATTCCCTGACCTTAACCCTTAAAGTGGACTCAGTTTGCACTATTTCTAGCAGTCTGCAAAGGCCCTAAGTGGATCTACCTGTGGAAGTTGTTGGGGAAAAAATCAGTGGGTCCAAAATGCTGCAGTCTCGGTACTGGCCAGGACTCGTTACAGGGAATATATAGTACAATTCCATTGTTGAAACAGCTTCGTTGGCTACTGATTCATTTCTAGGCATAATTCAAACTGCTGATTACAACCTATAAAACACTATATGCCTTAGGTCCAGATGCTCTGAGAGACTGTATCTCCCAGTAAAAATCTGCCTAGTTCTGCCTTTGGAAGAGGGCTTTCTCTTGGTCCCACTCTTGTCACAGATCCTTTTGGTGAGGACACATGAGAAAGCCTTTTTGGTGGTTAACTTGAGCCTGTGTAGTTCTCTACTCTCTGCTGGTAGTTAAATACTTTCTTATTTCAACAGTCATTTTGAAATTGACTGGTGGTTCAGAAGACACTTTTAATGGCGTGTGTTATATTTTTATTCTTACTGACATTTTAAATGCCCTTACACAGTTTTAAATAGTGGCATTTTAGGATGGCTCATTTAATTGTTTTTGAACTTTAAAATTTTTATTTTTATTCCACACATATATTTAAATTTATATACATAAAATAAACATTGAAGGAAAAAGCAAAACATACCTTATGAACAAAACAACAACAATAAAATAAAACCTCTTCAAGAAAATTGGGATATGTTCGTCTTTTTTTGAGACAACAATGGGGGGATTTATCAGTTAGGGTTTGATAAGATAATAGTAATGTACTTACATTAGAAATATAACTTGGATATGGTGTTTAGGAAGTATAATATAGTTTGGGCTAATGATTTCAGTTAGGGTGGGAAACATATTTTGATTCTATATATGTAGTGGTTGTTTTGTGTATTTATTTTGTGTTGGGGGGTCCATTTTTAATTGGTTTTGAAATTTTTAACATCAGGTTTTAGTTGTACTTTGTTTTAAACAATGTTGTAAGCCACCTTTACTCCCATATCAGGAAAAAGCAGGGTATACATTAAAGAAATAAGGAAATAAGTAGACTATATCTATTCAACAAATGAATTATATTATTTATTTATTTTTCAGAACCTCTCTGTACATCTTTAAAATATGTGAATGCTTTATGTGAGGTGAGCATTTTTGTAACAAATTTTTGAGAGTGTGAAAATGCCACTTTTGTCA